TGTCTGCAAAAAAAGTTGAATGCAAGAGTCTTTTTGTGCTCAGATTTATTGTATCATGTCACCTGAGTATAGAAATGATAGAAAAGACACAAAATTTTATTTCATATAGCTTCAATATGCATTTTTAAATGTAAATATGTGATACGGCCTAAATTGACCCTAAATTATTTTCAGTCTTACTTGGCCTAAGACACTTTTAAACTGATGTGATATGTTATTTGTAAGTTTTCTTTCCATTTAAAGTACATTAAATACATATGTAAGGATTATTTATAACCAAAAAGCTTTACAAATTTAAAATTGCTGGAAAATATTACATCTTCATGTAAGGCCCCCCTTCATTGGAAAACCTCCATTTTTAGCCACAGGCTCATATAAATTTGACTTTTTAATAATTATGATAAGTCTGATAAATCAAATGAGTACTCTATTGCTTTTAATACATAATATATTATATATTAAGGCATTTCAAAAGTATTTTTTTGCAATATTTTAATTTTTTAAGCCCCAAATGTTGATAGTTGAAAATTTTCAATTTTAACGTCTAAATTTAACACTCAAAGTTCAATATAGAATTAGTCATATTGTCTATAATATATATCCTATTGCCATGAATCTTTGTAAGCAGTCTTATAATTTAATAAGCTTTAGTCATACCAAGTTTCATTAAGATTGGTCAACTTTTTCTACCCTATTAGGTGAAATCAGGAAATATAGAATCTGTACTTTGGCAACTTCCCTGAGTGATTTGATGGTGTCAATTTATCAAATAGCATAAAACTAAAGGATTTAAACTTTTATTTGATAGAATTTCTGCAAAAATGACCAATTTTGGCATTTTATGGTCAAAATAAGCATTTCATAGCTTTTTCAATTTTGATGCATAAGTGGCATTCTGACTTTCTATCTGACAGGTTTTTATGTGTCAATATTTGTGTTTTTATGCTTCAATCCAGTTGTATTACTCATTTGTGAACTCTGAATCTACAGAAAAGAAGATTATCTCAGACAATATGCGCAAAATGTGTTGTATATATGATCCTCGTCTAACGCCCTGTTTGTATCAAGTTAAATGTGAGGAGCTTGGAACATAAAAGTTGAAGTCCATTATAAAGACCTCACTAAATTTGTATAAAAAGCACTTAACAATGTCTTTTGTACCGGTTTTATGTCACATAATATCTTTCTTTTCTTCTGTAGGATAGCAAGTGGTTCAAATATAAGCCTGTTGAGACTAAAATTGCATGCATGTTTTTCACTAAAAAGTGAAAAATCTTTTTATCAGACCATACTGTCTGCAAAAAAAGTTGAATGCAAGAGTCTTTTTGTGCTCAGATTTATTGTATCATGTCACCTGAGTATAGAAATGATAGAAAAGACACAAAATTTTATTTCATATAGCTTCAATATGCATTTTTAAATGTAAATATGTGATACGGCCTAAATTGACCCTAAATTATTTTCAGTCTTACTTGGCCTAAGACACTTTTAAACTAATGTGATATGTTATTTGTAAGTTTTCTTTCCATTTAAAGTACATTAAATACATATGTAAGGATTATTTATAACCAAAAAGCTTTACAAATTTAAAATTGCTGGAAAATATTACATCTTCATGTAAGGCCCCCCTTCATTGGAAAACCTCCATTTTTAGCCACAGGCTCATATAAATTTGACTTTTTAATAATTATGATAAGTCTGATAAATCAAATGAGTACTCTATTGCTTTTAATACATAATATATTATATATTAAGGCATTTCAAAAGTATTTTTTTGCAATATTTTAATTTTTTAAGCCCCAAATGTTGATAGTTGAAAATTTTCAATTTTAACGTCTAAATTTAACACTCAAAGTTCAATATAGAATTAGTCATATTGTCTATAATATATATCCTATTGCCATGAATCTTTGTAAGCAGTCTTATAATTTAATAAGCTTTAGTCATACCAAGTTTCATTAAGATTGGTCAACTTTTTCTACTCTAAGAGGTGAAATCAGGAAATATAGAATCTGTACTTTGGCAACTTCCCTGAGTGATTTGATGGTGTCAATTTATCAAATAGCATAAAACTAAAGGATTTAAACTTTTATTTGATAGAATTTCTGCAAAAATGACCAATTTTGGCATTTTATGGTCAAAATAAGCATTTCATAGCTTTTTCAATTTTGATGCATAAGTGGCATTCTGACTTTCTATCTGACAGGTTTTTATGTGTCAATATTTGTGTTTTTATGCTTCAATCCAGTTGTATTACTCATTTGTGAACTCTGAATCTACAGAAAAGAAGATTATCTCAGACAATATGCGCAAAATGTGTTGTATATATGATCCTCGTCTAACGCCCTGTTTGTATCAAGTTAAATGTGAGGAGCTTGGAACATAAAAGTTGAAGTCCATTATAAAGACCTCACTAAATTTGTATAAAAAGCACTTAACAATGTCTTTTGTACCGGTTTTATGTCACATAATATCTTTCTTTTCTTCTGTAGGATAGCAAGTGGTTCAAATATAAGCCTGTTGAGACTAAAATTGCATGCATGTTTTTCACTAAAAAGTGAAAAATCTTTTTATCAGACCATACTGTCTGCAAAAAAAGTTGAATGCAAGAGTCTTTTTGTGCTCAGATTTATTGTATCATGTCACCTGAGTATAGAAATGATAGAAAAGACACAAAATTTTATTTCATATAGCTTCAATATGCATTTTTAAATGTAAATATGTGATACGGCCTAAATTGACCCTAAATTATTTTCAGTCTTACTTGGCCTAAGACACTTTTAAACTAATGTGATATGTTATTTGTAAGTTTTCTTTCCATTTAAAGTACATTAAATACATATGTAAGGATTATTTATAACCAAAAAGCTTTACAAATTTAAAATTGCTGGAAAATATTACATCTTCATGTAAGGCCCCCCTTCATTGGAAAACCTCCATTTTTAGCCACAGGCTCATATAAATTTGACTTTTTAATAATTATGATAAGTCTGATAAATCAAATGAGTACTCTATTGCTTTTAATACATAATATATTATATATTAAGGCATTTCAAAAGTATTTTTTTGCAATATTTTAATTTTTTAAGCCCCAAATGTTGATAGTTGAAAATTTTCAATTTTAACGTCTAAATTTAACACTCAAAGTTCAATATAGAATTAGTCATATTGTCTATAATATATATCCTATTGCCATGAATCTTTGTAAGCAGTCTTATAATTTAATAAGCTTTAGTCATACCAAGTTTCATTAAGATTGGTCAACTTTTTCTACTCTAAGAGGTGAAATCAGGAAATATAGAATCTGTACTTTGGCAACTTCCCTGAGTGATTTGATGGTGTCAATTTATCAAATAGCATAAAACTAAAGGATTTAAACTTTTATTTGATAGAATTTCTGCAAAAATGACCAATTTTGGCATTTTATGGTCAAAATAAGCATTTCATAGCTTTTTCAATTTTGATGCATAAGTGGCATTCTGACTTTCTATCTGACAGGTTTTTATGTGTCAATATTTGTGTTTCTATGCTTCAATCCAGTTGTATTACTCATTTGTGAACTCTGAATCTACAGAAAAGAAGATTATCTCAGACAATATGCGAAAAATGTGTTGTATATATGATCCTCGTCTAACGCCCTGTTTGTATCAAGTTAAATGTGAGGAGCTTGGAACATAAAAGTTGAAGTCCATTATAAAGACCTCACTAAATTTGTATAAAAAGCACTTAACAATGTCTTTTGTACCGGTTTTATGTCACATAATATCTTTCTTTTCTTCTGTAGGATAGCAAGTGGTTCAAATATAAGCCTGTTGAGACTAAAATTGCATGCATGTTTTTCACTAAAAAGTGAAAAATCTTTTTATCAGACCATACTGTCTGCAAAAAAAGTTGAATGCAAGAGTCTTTTTGTGCTCAGATTTATTGTATCATGTCACCTGAGTATAGAAATGATAGAAAAGACACAAAATTTTATTTCATATAGCTTCAATATGCATTTTTAAATGTAAATATGTGATACGGCCTAAATTGACCCTAAATTATTTTCAGTCTTACTTGGCCTAAGACACTTTTAAACTAATGTGATATGTTATTTGTAAGTTTTCTTTCCATTTAAAGTACATTAAATACATATGTAAGGATTATTTATAACCAAAAAGCTTTACAAATTTAAAATTGCTGGAAAATATTACATCTTCATGTAAGGCCCCCCTTCATTGGAAAACCTCCATTTTTAGCCACAGGCTCATATAAATTTGACTTTTTAATAATTATGATAAGTCTGATAAATCAAATGAGTACTCTATTGCTTTTAATACATAATATATTATATATTAAGGCATTTCAAAAGTATTTTTTTGCAATATTTTAATTTTTTAAGCCCCAAATGTTGATAGTTGAAAATTTTCAATTTTAACGTCTAAATTTAACACTCAAAGTTCAATATAGAATTAGTCATATTGTCTATAATATATATCCTATTGCCATGAATCTTTGTAAGCAGTCTTATAATTTAATAAGCTTTAGTCATACCAAGTTTCATTAAGATTGGTCAACTTTTTCTACCCTATTAGGTCCGGGTACACAGTTATCGTTCTTGATTTTCGTTGTCCACGAATATAGTCCCTAGTGTGGACAGTGTGTTACTTGTCGATTTTTTTTATACCCCTTCCGAATTTATTTCTCCATGTTTTATGACTCAAATAGTAAGTAGGGGGGTGAAATGACACTGTAAACAAATTTGGGTCATGAATTTTAAAGTAAAGTAGTGATTTGGTCCAGCTGAAAAATGTTAAAAATTAGCACATCGGAAGCTGTCAAAAGATTTGAAGACCCCCTTAGCATGAAATTGTCCATATTTTGAGTTAGAGCCGATGAAGTTTTCTATAATTTTGATATAATTTGTCCCAAAAGTAGTACAACACACTGTAAAAATATTATTGAGAAAGCGCAGGTGGGATTTTTTTAATTTTCATTTATTGTCTAAAAGAAATGCACTACGAAATAACCCGTATGAAAATTTCAACAGGAGTTCAACTGGACTCCAGCTGGACTTGAGACGTATTCCAGTCTGACTTTGAAAAGTCCAGTCTGACATGAGCCGTACACGTACTTTTTCTTATACTTGGGTTATTTGCCAGCCGGTATTTTCTTAAAAGTCCAACCGAACTTTTTGTAATGCTGACAAGAAAATAAACACGGCTGGACTTTTGAGGAAATTTATTCCTTTCTGTAAAATGATCAGCAGGATTTTTGTCTTAGAAAATTTAACATTCATTTATGAGCAGGAATTTAGACTAAGAAAATTCTTTAACATCAATTAGAAACTTGAGCCATATAACAGTGATTTAATAGCAGTTAGTCTTGTAGAAATGTGCCATCTGTTTTCAATTAACCTCAGTCTGGACAGGTCACAGGAAGTACTATCTCCACAGAGATTGAGGCCATATGTAGGAGAACACATTTCGAAATACATATTTCTGCAATTACTATCACATTTATTAAAAATTTCATAATTAAACAAATTAATAATTGATTTTCTTTTTTTAATCTATCACATATTCAAAATTAAGGCACATGCAATTAGTCATAAGAGGAACATTTAAAACAACTCCTTAAACAACCTCATGTATTGCAATACAACACAATTTGATTTTGGAATAAACAGGAAGATGTGTCTTCTTTCTTGAACAAAATGAGAATTTCACATAATTGTGTGTAAAGCAAATGTTTGGAAGTAGTTCTTTTCACATTAAATAGAGAAGCTAGATGGATCATTCTGACTGGCATCAATGACAAAATTATTTAGGAAGATTGCTGTTTGCATGTGTTTTGGATTGCATATTCTGGTAAGTACAATAAATTGAATTCCACCATTTTGGTGGTATTATCTGATATGCTCTTTTTATTTAAAATATAAATAGAATAATTACAATATTATAAATAGCTTAATTCTTATTTTTGAAGAGGAAAAAGAATAAAAAACCTACATCAAATATTTATATTCATGCAATAATTTTCATCTTGTCTGTTATGTCACTGTCACTTCCTGTTTTGAATTGTTATCAGGTTATGTAAAAAAATGTATTGTTATATTTTTTATTCCCTCTGTATTAAGGAATGGTTATTATTTGAGTTGTTATGAAAGTTTTTTAATTTCTACACTTTAAGTGATTTTCAAAGCCAACTTTATTTTATTTTTAGCCACTTTAAAATTATTTAGGCTATTATAACCACAAATTATTAGAAGTTAGCATTTAGCTTCTCAGTTCCCCATTTCTTGGTTTTGCCAGTAAGACAGTACAAAAAAGAAAAAGAAATAACCAGTATATATGCATAATGTCATCTGTTGTTTTTGTATTTTCAGATTATAGCAAGGGATGCATGATGCAAATTAAATCAGAAGAACCAACCATCTGAAGAAAAACTGAGCAGTGGCGGATCCAGGGGGAGGGTTCCGGGGGTTGGACCACCCCCCCCCCCCCCTTTATCCTGAGTTAGGAACCTCCCTTTTGAAAATGGCAGGATTTGCCCCTGCTGAGATCATCTTTAAAAGTCAAACCGCACTTTTTGAAGTCCAGCTGGACTTTTTAAAGTTCAGCTGGACTTTTTAAAGTTCAGCCATACTTTAAAGTCCGACTGAACTTTATAGAGTCCATATTTTTGCCATAAATGCCGGCTGGATTTTTATTCAGACGTACTTTTATTAAAGTCCAGCTGGACTTCATGAACCGGACTCCTGCTAATTTAAATATTTCGAGCCGGTTTACGGCTAATTTCGCTGAAAGTCCAGCCGGGGTATCTATTATAAGCAATTCAAAGAAAAGTCCAAATGAATATTATAAGTACGGTTCTCAGTACGGCTACAGTACGGCTTCTGTCCGGCTGGAGTACGTGTCATGTTTTTCATACGGGTACTGTGTACTCGGACCTAAGAGGTGAAATCAGGAAATATAGAATCTGTACTTTGGCAACTTCCCTGAGTGATTTGATGGTGTCAATTTATCAAATAGCATAAAACTAAAGGATTTAAACTTTTATTTGATAGAATTTCTGCAAAAATGACCAATTTTGGCATTTTATGGTCAAAATAAGCATTTCATAGCTTTTTCAATTTTGATGCATAAGTGGCATTCTGACTTTCTATCTGACAGGTTTTTATGTGTCAATATTTGTGTTTCTATGCTTCAATCCAGTTGTATTACTCATTTGTGAACTCTGAATCTACAGAAAAGAAGATTATCTCAGACAATATGCGCAAAATGTGTTGTATATATGATCCTCGTCTAACGCCCTGTTTGTATCAAGTTAAATGTGAGGAGCTTGGAACATAAAAGTTGAAGTCCATTATAAAGACCTCACTAAATTTGTATAAAAAGCACTTAACAATGTCTTTTGTACCGGTTTTATGTCACATAATATCTTTCTTTTCTTCTGTAGGATACACTACAAAAGTCTAAAAGTCTGAAAAGACCAGTTTTTGTCTTAATTTGCATGAACTTTTACTCGACATTCTCCAAAAGTATGACTTGTGTCTTAATTTTTCTTGAAAAATTCTCATTTATATTAAATTTGTATGAAATTTACTCGACATATTCTCGACATTCTGAATATGGTCTTAAAATTTCTTGACAAATTCTTGACATTTGAATACTGTCTTGAAATTTCTCGACATATTCTCGACATTCTTATTTTTTCTCAGTATTGCTTGACATATTCTGAACATTTTGAATGGTGTCTTAAATTTACTTGACAGTTCTGAGTTTTACAAATCATGACCAATATTCATGATATAACTTTAATCTTTATTTCTCTTTATATGATATACTGTTGTTTCAAGTTACACTTCTTTACAACAAAAATAAAAGTTGGGCATGTAAAATAATTGAAAATTTGGGTATATAAATATTTTTACAAATGCAAATATGGCTATGAAATCTAAAGTTTAAAATAATTCAAATGTGGGTGTGTTGATATAAAACAATTTCAATGTCGGTTTTTAAATAATTACAAATTTTGATTCCTAAATCTTATAAATTAAATGATTCAAACCAATCATACTGTAAACATATTTCATTCTACATTCATAATATTCATAATTATTATACCAAAATGTGGTTTATATAAATAGCAAATTATGATGATATTCAAATCATTCATTTAACAGAAGAAAAATTTGTGTAATGTCATCTGTTGGAATATATTAAGTATTACACATGGACAGGATGTTCCCCATAAAATTAAGGTATTCCACACCCCAGAGTACACGCAACTGTCAAATAGAAGTTATTGCTTTACCTGTAATCAGCCATACAACTTATCAGTTGACTGACCATGCCACTACAAAAGTTTGTTGATAGATGAAAATGAAAATCATCATTTTGATGAAAAAAAATTGAATTGAAATGGATTTTCTTCATCAAAATTATGAAGTTAATTATTTTAACATAAAAACAAATTGAATAATTCCCAAAGATTAAAAGAAAATTATTATCTACTCCAGGAATAATAAAAAAAATGTATTTATAATGGGTTCCATCAATGATTTCTATAGAAATCATCGGTCTTATGAAATGGTTCTCAAACAGACATGCATAATATAGATCTAAACATTTTTTTCCTTTCAGGAAGGAGTTATCACAAATATTTATTTTTGATAAAAAAAATTATAAAATTCAACACTCAAATTTGAATAAAAAATGTTTTTGGGTTGTTCTAAAAAATGAATAAGGTTTTTGAATCAAGATGGGAACAAATTCTTTGACCTTAACGAAAGCCCCCCCCCCCCCCCCCCCCCCCCGGCCCTCTTTTTTTAGCCACACAAACCCAAAAGATGAATTGTGGGGTCCAAAAGAGATACAAGACCCCTATTTTAGTCAAGCAAATTTGACTGGCAGTTTTGCGAACGGCAAAAATCTAAATGCTGTTTGTCAAGGTAAACGGACAGAAAGTCACAGGACAAAAAGTCACAGGACAAAAAGTCACAGGACATAAAGTCACAAATTTGATAGGACAAAAAGTTTGTCAATACCTTCGACTTATATTCCAAGTGAAAACAATTACTTAAATGTTTAATAAAAATAAATCAAAATTAAATTAAATTACATGGGGGATTATTCAAGGTATTCCAACTTAGTTGCACCAAAAGGGTATCTTACTATACCAAATTAATCCTTGATTCTTCAAAGTTTAGTTTAGCCATAATAAAAAGGAGTATATAACAGCAATATAATGTCATAAATAGTGCAGAATAAGTCTGTTCACATTTCAGGCGAAATTTATACTGTTGAGATAGTGTCAAGACATATTTAAGACTGTCAAGAATGTGTCGAGACATATTCAGACATTATTTAGAATGTCAAGAATATGTCGAGACATATTCAGACATTATTAAGAATGTCAAGAATATGTCAAGACAGATCGAGACAAATTTAAGACAGTCAAGAATTGGTCGAGACTAATCCAGACTCTTATCAGATGATACAGGAAGTGTCGAGAAATTTTAAGACAATGTTCATACTGTCAAGACACTTGTCAAGAAAAATCAAGAACCTTATTAGACAAATTCATACTATGTCAAGAATTTTTAAAAATTATTTAGACAAATTAAGAATGTCGAGTAAAAATTCATGCAAATTCAGACAAAAACTGGTCTTTTCAGACTTTTTGACTTTTGTAGTGATAGCAAGTGGTTCAAATATAAGCCTGTTGAGACTAAAATTGCATGCATGTTTTTCACTAAAAAGTGAAAAATCTTTTTATCAGACCATACTGTCTGCAAAAAAAGTTGAATGCAAGAGTCTTTTTGTGCTCAGATTTATTGTATCATGTCACCTGAGTATAGAAATGATAGAAAAGACACAAAATTTTATTTCATATAGCTTCAATATGCATTTTTAAATGTAAATATGTGATACGGCCTAAATTGACCCTAAATTATTTTCAGTCTTACTTGGCCTAAGACACTTTTAAACTAATGTGATATGTTATTTGTAAGTTTTCTTTCCATTTAAAGTACATTAAATACATATGTAAGGATTATTTATAACCAAAAAGCTTTACAAATTTAAAATTGCTGGAAAATATTACATCTTCATGTAAGGCCCCCCTTCATTGGAAAACCTCCATTTTTAGCCACAGGCTCATATAAATTTGACTTTTTAATAATTATGATAAGTCTGATAAATCAAATGAGTACTCTATTGCTTTTAATACATAATATATTATATATTAAGGCATTTCAAAAGTATTTTTTTGCAATATTTTAATTTTTTAAGCCCCAAATGTTGATAGTTGAAAATTTTCAATTTTAACGTCTAAATTTAACACTCAAAGTTCAATATAGAATTAGTCATATTGTCTATAATATATATCCTATTGCCATGAATCTTTGTAAGCAGTCTTATAATTTAATAAGCTTTAGTCATACCAAGTTTCATTAAGATTGGTCATCTTTTTCTACCCTATTAGGTGAAATCAGGAAATATATAATCTGTACTTTGGCAACTTCCCTGAGTGATTTGATGGTGTCAATTTATCAAATAGCATAAAACTAAAGGATTTAAACTTTTATTTGATAGAATTTCTGCAAAAATGACCAATTTTGGCATTTTATGGTCAAAATAAGCATTTCATAGCTTTTTCAATTTTGATGCATAAGTGGCATTCTGACTTTCTATCTGACAGGTTTTTATGTGTCAATATTTGTGTTTCTATGCTTCAATCCAGTTGTATTACTCATTTGTGAACTCTGAATCTACAGAAAAGAAGATTATCTCAGACAATATGCGCAAAATGTGTTGTATATATGATCCTCGTCTAACGCCCTGTTTGTATCAAGTTAAATGTGAGGAGCTTGGAACATAAAAGTTGAAGTCCATTATAAAGACCTCACTAAATTTGTATAGAAAGCACTTAACAATGTCTTTTGTACCGGTTTTATGTCACATAATATCTTTCTTTTCTTCTGTAGGATAGCAAGTGGTTCAAATATAAGCCTGTTGAGACTAAAATTGCATGCATGTTTTTCACTAAAAAGTGAAAAATCTTTTTATCAGACCATACTGTCTGCAAAAAAAGTTGAATGCAAGAGTCTTTTTGTGCTCAGATTTATTGTATCATGTCACCTGAGTATAGAAATGATAGAAAAGACACAAAATTTTATTTCATATAGCTTCAATATGCATTTTTAAATGTAAATATGTGATACGGCCTAAATTGACCCTAAATTATTTTCAGTCTTACTTGGCCTAAGACACTTTTAAACTAATGTGATATGTTATTTGTAAGTTTTCTTTCCATTTAAAGTACATTAAATACATATGTAAGGATTATTTATAACCAAAAAGCTTTACAAATTTAAAATTGCTGGAAAATATTACATCTTCATGTAAGGCCCCCTTTCATTGGAAAACCTCCATTTTTAGCCACAGGCTCATATAAATTTGACTTTTTAATAATTATGATAAGTCTGATAAATCAAATGAGTACTCTATTGCTTTTAATACATAATATATTATATATTAAGGCATTTCAAAAGTATTTTTTTGCAATATTTTAATTTTTTAAGCCCCAAATGTTGATAGTTGAAAATTTTCAATTTTAACGTCTAAATTTAACACTCAAAGTTCAATATAGAATTAGTCATATTGTCTATAATATATATCCTATTGCCATGAATCTTTGTAAGCAGTCTTATAATTTAATAAGCTTTAGTCATACCAAGTTTCATTAAGATTGGTCATCTTTTTCTACCCTATTAGGTGAAATCAGGAAATATATAATCTGTACTTTGGCAACTTCCCTGAGTGATTTGATGGTGTCAATTTATCAAATAGCATAAAACTAAAGGATTTAAACTTTTATT